GAGAGAGAGAGAGAGAGCGGAGGGCGGGCGAACGCCGTGGAATGGAAGAAGGAGGGAAGGCGGGTGTGGTGTCTCTCTCAATGACCGATTTATTATTCTTATTCCTCCTCCTTTTTTTTTTTTTTTTTTTGCGTGCTTTCTAAGTTCCCTCTGGAGGCTCCGGTTGCACCGGAGGCGCGGTCACACATTTACGTACACAACGGTCACCGCCCATCCATAAACCTTTTCCCATATATATTACTTCCCCCACGGCTCTCTGGTTCTCACTGATGTTTCATATCTTTCATTTTACAGCCTTTTTTTTTGTCGTTGTTGATTCACTTACGTGCAAATACTTTTTCTCTCTCTGCATGGTTGTCGTTCAGTGGTTGATGTTCCGCTTGTTGCCTCCGCTGCCTTGTGTCCTTTCACTCATGACGTTTCCCTCCGCTTCTTTGTTCTCTTTGAACGCACGCACATACACGTAACTCCGCACGTATGCGTGTGTATGAGCCACTGCACAGGGCTTAGCTGGGGGTGCGGGGAGGAGCGGCGAGAAGCGACGGGGCGACCAGGGACTACTGCATACCATGAAGTACCTCGTGTTGCTTGGACGGCTGCCTGGCGAGGGTCTATGGGCCACAGCGGAGAGCTACAGCGGGCTTGTGGAGGAGATTAAAGAGGCATTCGGAGACGACTACAACCCCATCTTCAAGTACCAGCTTCCATGTAACCCAAAAACCATCGGGCATTCGAATGGCACATGCCACATCATCATTGATGACGAGGATGATTTTCAAATATGGAAGAATGGCTGCGTCCCCGTTGCGCATCACCGTGATCCGCTGGATGACATTTATCATCCGTCCACACCACTCACCACAAAGTTGTATGTGTTTAGAAAGGATGTAAGTTATTTCTCTGCCTCCGCATTGAGGGAGTCCGGCGGTGCGAGTCTCCAGGTAGCATTGGGGAGTAAGGTTGAGCGTTCTAGTCCCGAAGTACTGCACGCGGAGCACGATGTTGTGAAGGTGCCGCTATATTCATTGCTTTTGCCGCTCCTTCTAGTTAAACTTGGAGTGCGTGTGGCACTTCGACACAGCAACGCGGCAGAGGCCATTTTGCTCAGCAGCCGATCTGTGGCTGGCACAGGTGAGGGTCACTGGGGCTGGGCAGTGCGTAAGGCCCAGTCTGCGTGGGGGGTACTTCGCCCCTCCTTCCGCTACCTGGACATTGACCATGGCGTTACGGCAATGAACATATTTAACGTGCGTGATTACATGTTTTGGAGTCACGGAGTGGGCCGCGAGAGGGTGGAGTTGATGGTGCTTGAACATGTGTATCGTGATGCAGCCCACATTTCTTATCCCTTGCGTTTTTTGACTCCACAGAGCGAGAGGATTTGCATGGCTGAGGTGACGGGGGATGCTCCCCCCACAGTTTCCGCCTCGCGGGTGGGCGGGGGTCTTAAGGGCGAGCGTGGCTACACCGTTGCCGTGGAGGCGACTGTTCGAGGGGTGGATTGCGGGTTGTATGGCCCCTCGTTCACCACTGATGCAAGAATTTCTCCCAAACCCTCCACCGCGGACGCTGATGTGGAGAATTCCCTAGTGCATCACCGAAATCTCGTTGCCTTCCTCCTTCGGAGTGAGATTTTCTAAAATTACTTGGGCGGCCACGTGGGTCTTAGGGGTTTCACAGGAGAACACCTTGGATTCAATGTACAGATGTCGCCTCGCACAAGAGATATATGTATGGAAGTCGTTGATTCAGTCTTGCTGAGCCAGGCTGTTGTTGTTTTTGTTGTTTCCCCCTCCCCCTACGTTTTTTTTTTTTTTTTTTTAGGGTATCTGCCCCTTTATGCGAGTATTTGTCTTCTTTTTGGTGAACCCACTGCCGTGCTGTATTGTGTTGTGCTGTGTCCCAGTTGGCAGGTTGGCAGAGGCATACACGTGGACCTTTCTCTTCTTCCTTATCTGTTTTGGGGTCCCATGATACAGAGAAGGGCTTTAGACGAAAAGATAAGATTGAAGGCATTGCCAAGAGTGCCAGTGTAGAGCGCGTAAAATATTTTGGCGGTACCGGTGCCGGATGTAAAGTTGAATGCCTCTTCAGTTGTGTGCGACAAGGTTCCTTTGTAGATTTTGGTGCCCCTTGTTTCTTGTGCGTTCTTCCTGAGAAACTCACAGTTCGCAGGTGGCCAGTGATAGCGGTGCGCACAGGCAATATGCTATTTCAATGTCGAGTGCCTCCTGCACCGCAGCCTCATCTCTTTTCTTCTTTCCTCTCAAGGATCACAGGGGGCCACGGTGTAGTGGGGCTTCTTATTGTTTCTTTTTTTGGCGTTGCTCTCGTTGGATACAAATAATTGTGTGTAATATATACATTGATTGCTGTTTGCTGCAATGGAGCAAGTGGGGCAGCAGCGGTTGCCGAGTGATCACAGAAACGTCTCCTTCGCACTGAAGGTGGCGGGGTGGCTGGTGCCTGACGTACGCCGGCACCTTTTTCTTCTTCTTTGGATATGTGGCGTGCCCATACATGTGCAGTACGTGGTGCACCTGCTTCGTATGTCAGCTGTTCCGCTGGAGATGGCGATGACGGACACGACAACTCAGACAGTGAGAAACCCGGGGATTTACGCGGCGATGGAAGCGCATGCGTCGCCTGTTCCGCCGGAAGAAACTTCGATGCGGGAGGTGGCGCTGGATATTTTGTTCGCGCAGGTGGCGGCCGACTGTCGTGCGGCAAACGCACAGGTGCGGCAGGCGTCCCTTTCCAGCGAGGCGTGGTCGGAGGTGCAAAGTTTGTCGTACCGTGTGGACGCGGCCGGCGTCACGCAGATTGTTGCGCAGGACGCGACGGCAAAGGGTGAGGTCTTGGCGTTGCTGCCGTCGGCAGCTTCGTTGGAGGAGCTCGAGGCGATGTACTTCACGGCAATCGACCAGGCGCGACGCTTCCGCGAGCAGTACACTTTTCCCCGGTCCCACAGCCACGCAAGCCGTGAAGGAGACAGCAGGACACACTCCAAGAAGGAGGAGTCTAGCCGCCGTCACGGCGTACAAGGCGAGGCAGGCGTTGGGATCGATGTGATTATTGTCGACAGCGAGGACGACGACGCTCGCCCGCTGAAGCAGCCAGACATTGTAGTACTTTCTGATGACGACGGTGGTGACAGCTGTAGTTGTTGCTGCCATCCGCCCGCGAAGCGACGACGGGGTTTCTCTGCAGAGGCCGTGTACGAAGTGGTGGAGTGATGTGCATTTGTTTCTTTGCTGTCTGACTGCTCCCGGTGGTGGTTTCGAATTTTTGCCTCATTTTGTTGCAATGCTTGGTTTCTTCCTGTATGACGTATAACTTCTCTCTCTCTCTCTTTCTTTCTTTCTCTCCGTGGGCTCTCTTTCAGAAGCCTTTTTTTTTTTTACGCGTACATGTCACTGCGAAACCTGTTTGGTGCTATAGAAGGCACGCCGATTGCCAGCGGTGTCCGCTCCGCCGTTGAACGCCTTCTGGGGCCGCTGAACCAGGGCGGGGAGGCTGCCAGCGCCTCCACCACCACGGACCCTGGCAGTGCGGGGCGGGAGTTCAGCAAGAACACGGTGTTCCTCAACCTCTACGATATCACGGAGGTGAATGATGTACTGTACCACGCCGGACTCGGCGTCCACCACACCGGCGTGGAGGTGTACGGCATGGAGTTCGCCTTTGGCCGCTGCCCTGCGGGCACGGGGGTATTCCAGGTAGTCCCCAAGCTTACGCCGCCGCACATCTTTCGTGAGCAGCTCGTCCTTGGCGAGACACGGATGACGCAGGAGGAGGTGCTCAGTGTGGTGAAGGAGTTTAAGGATAACGAGAGTCAGTGGTCCGGCCGCGCGTACCACCTGGTGAGGAACAATTGTAACCACTTCTCGGAGGCCTTCGCTGGTCGACTGCTGCCTCCCGAGGTGCGAGCAGAACAACATCAGCAACGGGGAATGGAGGTCTACGACGATGGCAGGCGGGAGGAAGTCACGCTGCCGAATGGACAGGTGTTGCCCCTTCCGTCGTTGATGCCTCGATGGATCAACCGCCTGGCGCGCAATGCGGCTCGCTTTATGCCTACGGAAATGGTGGAGCGAATGGACGCGCTGGATCGCGCGGCACAGAGGATGATCTCTGAAGTGTGATGCCTCATCCTACCAACTCATCTTTCTACACGCAACCCAGACAGCCAGGAAACAACGACAACCGCAACAAGGGAGAAAACACGTGGTGGTGTGTGTGTGTGTGTGTGAGTGACTTTAGATTTGGGCTCCTAATTTGCCCCGGTGATGTTTTGAAGAATTGCTTCATTGAAATAGAGCTTCCGCAGGACCGCTGTATACATTTTAATCACGGCATGTGCAGAGGGGTTGCTGCTGTTTCGCTTTTGCTTTCCCAACCGGCACTCTCTTCGTGGGGCGCCGCAGTATTCCCACCCTTTTCCCATCCCACCTTACGTTTGTGCCTGGGTGCGCCCACGGAGGAGGAGGATGGCCATGGCACTTGAGTCATGGCAAAGCGACGGGGATGATGGGGCACCAACGTTGCAGAGCGGCGATGCGCGCTTGTGTCGGCAGACGAGCATGCGTACCACAAATAAACAAATAAAATATGTATTATTTCTTGTTGCAAACATGTTGAGCTTGCCACTCACCCACCCATCCGGGCCCTTACAACACACAGGCGCTCTCCGTCAGTCACTCATGCACTCTTTTGTTTTCGTTGCTGTTGTTGTTGTTTTTTTTTTTTTTGGACGCACCTAATTTTACGTTTCTGTTAGTTGTTATCAGTGCGTTCTCTCTTTGCTTTGTGCAGTCCTCACAAAACTCTTTGTTTTGGGTCACCGGGCATGATCGTCATGTTCGCCTGTTTGCGGTCTTTGGCCTTGAGGCCGGTGGTGCTGGCACCTGGCTGATCACACGGAAAGAACGCCACAAAGAGAAACGGTGCACGTGTGTGTTCGTCCCTCTGTGTGAAGAGTGCGGGAGGTCTTTGTGGAGATGTTGTGTTTCACGCGTATGTGTCTGCGCGATGCGGTGCTGCGGTGGGGCAAAATTGTCTCGTTGTGTCCTATTTTTGTTTTTTTTTGTTTGGGTTTCCCCGTTGTGTGCTGCTGCCACAGCAGGGTGGAGAGGGGGCGAGAAGGATGCCGGCGAAGAAGGGCAAAGCAAAGGACGTTGTGGAGGACAATGCCCCGCCTGGAATTTTGAAGGCGCATGTGGAGTACTGCGGCTCCATCAACAAACCTGCGCGGCAGCGTATGGGGCACCTCGCGTACGTGCACCCCAGAAGCGGCCTACTGTACGTTGTGGGTGGGTACGACGTGCAAGCGCTGCCGCAGGCAATAAAAGCCTCGCCGCTCGAGGAGACAGCGGAATCAATGCCCTTTGCGGAGTGGTGGGACGCTGGCACCTGCATGTGGGGTGGCTGCAGTGCGACATCGTGTCAGCCAATCCCGCAATTATGCATGACGAAGATGCCACCAATATGCGTAAATGAGATGCAGAGCGATGTCGATAAGGGGGGGGAAGAGGAAGAGCTGAAGAGCTTTGGGACAGTGAGTGCGGCACCCCACGAGCCTGTTGCCCCGCAATCTTGTGTGCAACTGCCGGACGGTTTCTCGTGGCCTACACTGGCGGCAACTGTAGTGTACTGGGGGCCGGTGGGGAGAGAGGATCGTGTAGTGTCGTCAACAGATGGCCTAAGTGGTGGTACATTATTGCCAAGCGAGGCTGCGAAGGCAGTTGGTGAAACTGTGAACGATGCTGACGGCAATAATGTAAAAGAGGAAAGTGCTGCTTCCGCGTTACGCGAGCACCCTGTGATTCTATTTGTTGGGGGGTGGAAGGGAAGCTGCCGCACTTTCCACACGGTGGGCGTTGATATGGATAGGGGGACTCTCTGGCATATTCGTGGGGGGATGTTTGCTTCTTCCCTGCCCTCGACTTGTTTGACCGGTAGCGCTGTACATGACTGTGTGTATGTCTTCGGCGGCAACACGGGCGGTGTCACGGGTGCTCCGCCCATCATGCGAACACTTGATCTCTCAAGCCGCAAGTGGGGCGAGCGGACAGGGGAGCATGCGTCCCACAGTCCTCCGCTGCCCCGCTCCTCCCACGTTGCTGGAGTGCTGCTGGACCGCTACATTGTGATTCATGGTGGACGGCGACTGGCTTCGACCCCAGCCGGACCCCCAGCGAAGGGCAGGAAGTCCATCCAAAAAATGTCGTGTCCAATCCAGAAATTGGGTCTGGAATTTTGCAGTGATGTCGCCGTCTACGATCTGGAGAAGAAACGATGGGTGGCAACCGCCATCCATGTGGGGTCTCTGGGCCCACCGCCGAGGTACGGGCATGCGGCCTGCGTGTTGAGTTCAACGGAGCTTCTGTTTCACGGCGGTATTGGAGTGGATGGGAACGTCTTATCTGACGCTTGGATCTTGCTTTTACTTGAAAAGAATGAGGCCAATGTATCTATTACGTGGGTGAAGTTGACGCCCTCTGAGGCGAATGGGATGTCGTTTCCAGGTCGCTATCATCATGCCTTGGCTGCCGCCGGAAGGCGTGTTTTTATCACTGGTGGGGTATGCCAAGAGGAAAGTGTGGGGGATGTATGCATTATGGACATTGAGCCGCTTGGCAATGTGGTCCCCACCCGGACGGAGGGGCGTAGGCGCACTGTGGCGTCAACCAACGTCCGCCAAACATCTGCGTAGGCGGGGAACGCGTGTGTGTATGTCTGTGCGGAGTGTGGTGGGTTGCTGATGCCCATAATGTACATCCGTCGTACCTGGACATCGGTGGCGGTTGCACTCTGTGAACCTGAAGGTAGCCGTTTTGCTTATATAGCTTCTACATGTACATGTACGGTAAAGGCAAACCACACCCGGGTCTACGATCTGTGGCTATGCCGCCAGAAGAGAAACACCAAACAGCACACGTCCTAGTCGTGCTGTTTGACTTTTCTTTACTTTTTTAGCTTATTTGTTGCCCACGCTGCCTCTGCCGCAAAAAAGATCC